ATTATTTTTTATTACCTTCTCTCCCACTAATACAATCGGATTTAAAGCATAACTCATGAATATAAAACAGAAGAATGAATGCAGAGTATCTTCCCCTTTTGTGAACCTTTCTAAAATGGAATTAAAATGGGGTGAAGAACGTAAGAGTTATTACCAAACATTAATTCTGTTGGCTGTATTGCAGATTGATTTGTCTCACAGGTCTATTTTGTTGTATCAGTGACTTCTGACCGAATAAAGTATCAAGGACAATTTTGTTCCTTAAAAAAAAAAAAAAAATCAGCTTAGATTCCACAATTCACTAGTGATGAATTTTTAAAACATGACTTTATTTTTATGACATGGGACTTCAGAACAAAGAGTTTTAATGAGTTTTGATTTTAAAACATTTAGATGAATAGATTATTCACAATAGTTCTTTAACACCACCATTCCCAAACTAGCTATATGAGGCATTAAATAGTTTCACCTGGACATAGAAAATATTGCTGTAATGCAATATGAATATATTTGAACAGGCATGACTAGTTTCTGTGATCCTGTTGCGACCCTTAAATTGTGGGTGTTACAGAAATAAAGCCAATTTCCCTACCATTAGAATAAGAAGCTAGTGACCTTGATAAGCAGCCTTATCACTTTTGTCAACCTTTGTACAAAAGCTAAGGTATCACTAAGACTGGTGAAGAATGCAACGCTTAGCTTTTGCCTTTCTGTGACAGAAAATTCAGTTGGGCACACACAGACATTCTAAGTAGATAGAAGGGGAAAATATTGTACTTAAAATGAATGGGAATTCAGAATGATTTAACATTTTAATATAATATAACCTAAATAATAACAATCCCCTCTTTTTAAAGTGCACATTTGCCTACTGACATTATAACGTGATTTAGCTACATCTAAATTATTTGTTTTACATGGATATTCCACAGTGATTTGTAGATGTTTTTAATAGCAATAAAAGAAGGAATAGCTCTAAAATCAATCAGAAAATCCCAAAAGCATGTCTTATAAAGATGTTTTGATTCAAATTAAATTGGTACATTTTTACTCAGATTTTTTGAGAGTCTAAAAAGTGAAGGGCAAGGGAAACTGTATAAATACAGAGCATATTATATTGAGTTTGAAATTTGCAACTACCTTTAATTTTACTACTAATATAGTTGGCAGCTCTACAAAGCCGGTATACATTAAATAAATATAAAAAATACGTTTCACTTGAAGGGCATCTTCAGATGTAAGTATATATAAAGGGAGACATATAATCTACATGGTCTGCCTATCTCTATGGAGGCATTATTTATTTCTAGACCCTCTTTGGACTGCTCCAGTTAGAAGACCACTAACTGGTGCAGAGCAAAATATCCAGTCTTACTTGTTACAAAAGATTATTTGAGCAGCTAGTGGGAAATTGTCATGAGACTATTGTCAGAGAAAGAAAATGATAACCTATTCTCCAGGGCATTTAGAGGTCTCCATGACCATCTCAAAGAAGGAAGTGCATGTTTTAGAAGCAGTCTCAGATTAGGTATCAGAGGCTGAAAAAACGTGAAACTCCCTGCTTTAGGGCATTGGTGACTAATCTTAAGCCACAGAGAATGCTAGGTAATAGACTCTTTCTTGCTCCAAAAAGGATGTATGTGCTTCT